TTTGAATCAATCTGACTGTTTGATCTGGTGAACTGGAAAGTGCCTTGAGATGAAATGTGTTGTGGATTGGCGCTATAGAAATAAACTGATTGAAATGATTTCAGAGGTAATTCAAACATATTGCTGTTAGGTTTTTCAAGTGATACTTATGTTCCTTCTATCTAAGGCCCTCATTTGATGAGCGGCACGGTGATGCAGTTTGTAGCAGTGTTACGTTGCAGAAAGAAGGTCCTGGGTTCGACTCTTGATCCTCATGGAGTGGAGTCTGACATCCTTCCACAGTCCAACAACGTGACTGTTATGTTAGTTGATGACTCTGGCGTTAGGTGTGTGTCTCTGGGATATACTGGTGACCTTTCGACCCGATAGAGAAGCAGTAGAAGATGGTTGATCTAAGTTGGTTTAAAATCCTCATGGTTTTCTAACTGTTCCAGGTTCCCAGGTCAGTCTGGGTTCCCCTCAGATGAACTTGTGGATCACCACCTCTTTCAAAGATTGGAAGGACACCTCTCCTCTCTCCCCATTTCTGAGGGCCGTCAGCTCGTCCTGCAGCTGAGCCACGGGACGTCCCAGCTGGTAGCCCAGGTCCACCAGCAGCTCCAGCAGCGCCGCTCTGTAGTGCTTCAGTCCATATCGCCTCACTGGAGGGAGCGCTCTCTGAGCGGTTGAGAACGCCTGCTCCGGCTCATCCAGGTCGCGGTAACACACAGCGACGGCTGACAGGGTGGGGACGGTCAGGGTGGAGTTCTGCCACGGCAGCAGCTTCTCCTGGATTTCCAGCACCGTCAGCAGCAGCTCCAGAGCGGCCTTGAACTGCCCTGCTCGGAGCAGCACGTGGGCCTGCTTCTGCTCCTGTTCGGTGAAGAACTCCGAGAAGAGAGCCGAGTGTCTGACACAGCGGGTGGAGAACAGCTTGGCCAAGTAGTCCTGCAAGGCTAGCCGCCGCTGCGAAATTTTCTCCGGGTTGAAGTTCCTCGTCAGAATTTTCCGGGGCAGAGAAACATCCTCCAGCTCTTCATCGAACTCCTGCAACAGTTTATGGTGAAGCCGGAGGAAGTCACTGTAGCGGCGCTCTACGGAAACGCGGCGGGAATCGAAGCTGCCAGAGCGAATCACCACGATCTGAAACACCTGGAAACAGAGAAGGACACATCCAGCATTATTCAGAGATTCAGACAGCAGGTTCCTCCTGAGCTTCATATGCTGTGGGGTTTTTTTTCTCCTGATGAGTTTTTATTCTCAGTCGCAGCCGACTCCCTTATTCTGCCTCCGATTGTCCCCTTGGACCCTCCTGCCTGGACTCCTCTGTGTTTCTACTGGTTTTCTCACCACGTGTTTGTCCAGCGGCTGCTCCACAACTCGACTCGATGGGATCTCAAACAAAAGCCGAACTGGACGCTCTCTTTGCTTTGCCTGCTTCCAGTTCTGCTGGAGCTCCCTAGTGGTTAAACTGGAACAACTGGGCATTCCACCTAACACAGAAAGAGACAGAACCCAATCATCTTACCCCAACAGTCAGAAAAGATTAAGCCCATTTGCCCATTTAAATGTGTGGGAACAACAGTCAGAAAGTTTAGGGCAGGGATCTTCAACGTTTTCCAGGCCAAGGAACCCCAAACTGATGGCGAGATGGAGCGGGGACCCCCTAATTATACATATTGTATGAAATTGTGTTTTACTATTACTTTTTACAGATGGAGTAATGTAACAAAAGTAATTCCTCCCTGGGATTATTAAAGTATCCCTGATTCTGATTCCTGGTTGATGGGACAGGTGTTGTGAATGAAACGGTGCCCAGCTTGAAAGAGCTCCTGTGTGTCGCTGAATGTGAGCATTGATGACTGAAAGACATCTTCTGCCTCCATTTATCTGTTTACTAGTGTGTTGAATTCATCTTAATGTGGATTTAAAAACATTTAAATTAGTGGAAAAATATGCAGGGGGGAATATAAAAAAAAGTCTAAACAACCAAAACTTTCGCAATCCCCATGCAGTACCCTCGTTGAGCCCCTGTGGGTCACGGACCCCATGTTGAAGACCTCCACTTTAAACTATTCTTCATGACCGCAGATCTTTGTTTGATTAAAGAAAGAAATGCAGATTTTCGACAAAACAATAAAAAATGTGGCTTAACTCATTAGAAAGCTCCAGATCATCATAAAGGTGATCAAAACATTGTGCCTGTGAAGCCAGGCCAATAACAATCCTAACAACTTCCCTTAAAGTGTTTTTATCTCCTCCTGATAAACGAACAGAACCCTTTTTAAGATGAACTTCTAGATTACAGATAGAGATCCATTTGGTCATCATGGTGAAGAACATTAAGGGACCTTCCGGATGAACCATTCTTTCATTACTTGATTAGGGAAGTCTGGATCTTCTTCAGAAATCTTGATATGTCATCCAGATTCATCTGATCCCTACAGAGCTTTGATTTAATGAGACCTGAAGCTAAACTCCCCATTTTACAGCAAACACAACATGAAGCAAAAACATCAGTACCTGCAGTCGGATCACTGTCATTCGGGTCATCAGAGCCCCTCCCTGGTTCTGCCATGGGGTCTTTGCAGCTGATCCTTGAGCTGAGAAAACCAGAGGTCAGATCCGGTGCTAAGAAATGTCAGGGTACCTCTCATTAAACTGGGTTCTAGGATCAAACAGGTCTGCTAGACACTGAAAAGCTCACACTGATTGTCCTGACATCAAGAATTCAGAACATGTTTGTGCTCAAATGAGGAAGTTCTACAGATAAAACAGGAACCAAATGAAGGGAACCAAAGTTCAACAACACAATGGCCAGGGAGCGCTTGTTTATGGGCTGCTGACACAGCAGAGGGGTGGAGGTAGTATCAATGACTGCAAAACAATCTTTGCTTCTGCAGCTTACAGTGTAGCCAGGCTGTCTGGCAGGCAGAGGATGAATGGAGGGAGGTTTGGATCCCACCTGCACATCTGGGTGAAGTCAGAGCTCCAACTTTGTCTAATCAACTGGGAAAGTAAAATGGAAAATATCTGAAGAGCCATCAGACCCTCATGGGAGAAGAGGGGGATCATCTCTGTAGTGGCTGTCACAGAGGGAGAACTACAGCTCCCAGAATGCACTTCTGCAGGAAAGCTCAAAGCTATGTTAGAGTAACTGAATAAACATTTAGATTAATAGTTGGTTAATATAACAAACATTATTATGATTAAAGCATCTGTTAACATAAGGAGAAATTATCCTTTAAATTATCAAGTTTTATTCTTTTTTTCTTAAAAACATTTAAAATGTATAAATTATTATAAAAAAAATATATTTATTTCACCTTCTTTCGTGGTGTTTGGAGAAGCAGGAATGAACAGTTACCTGTTAGAACTTGTTTTCTGTGAAGCAGCGCCCCCCAGCGGCAGGAGATTCAGGAAGACGGTCATCTGGCTGCTCACTGCAGCTTCAAGGTGAGTTCTGGTTCTGGTTCTGGTTCTGGTTCTGGTTTTGGCTCGGAACAGCTTCGGACACCTTCGGGTCAAAGGTATGGGTGTTTTATTGTACACGCACGCGCGCCCCGCGCTGCAATTATGCGCGTGCAGAAGTCTCGTTACTGTTTGCTGCTTCTGCGAAAAGTGAAACTATGAAGTAACAGGAACTTAATTTCATACTAATAGCGGATGTTTCTGAAATAATTACTAACCGTTCATAGTTTCTTTTTTTTATAAAAGATGGAGTCTTTTCTGTTGGTTGTTTGGAACATCCGGGATAAATGACGGGTCTGCAAACCTGATTCCAGCTGCTGCAAAATGACTTTTCAGAGGAAATCTGCCACTGAAGTCAAACAGCCTGATAGATCAGCTTATTGCTCTGAAGATTCAAAGTTCCAGAACAATCTCTGTCGGTTACAGAATATAAAAATGAAACTAATACAACCAGAGGATTTATCTGATTCAGTGTAAAAATAGAATTAAAAGCAAATGAGTTTAGAGCAGGAAAACAGGAAGAGGTGAAGTATGAGATCAGGACCATGAGGACCCAGAACAGGTTTACTGTGAACTGTCATCTTCTTCTTTTCCTTCAGGTGAACATGGAGGAAGACAGCAATGTGTTACAGCTGCTGGAGGAGTATTGCAAACTGAGGTCCTGCGGTCCCAGGCCAAAGGTCACTTATAAACAACAAGGGGGTTATCGACAGTTATCCCATGATCTGTTAGAGTCTGACTCCTTTTATCAATCTGGATCTCTGAAAAAAGGTGGGACCCATTTAAAAAAAATACACTTGGTCTTCTTGTTCATGCAGCAGCGTTTAACTTGAATGTTCCAGATGTCTGTCTCACGGTGAAGCAGGTAGCTGAATGTCTCCATGGAAACAATATCTAACAACTCCTCTGATTTTTCCACAGAGGTCCCGACACTGTTGGCGACAATCGTGGATTCGGCGCACATCGCAGATTCGCCGACGATCGCTGAGCAGAACCTGCAGACGCAAGACGGTGAGATCCATTGAACTACCTTCTGTTCCTCAGCAGCTGGTTCTGTTCATTATTCTTCTGGGTTTTATCCTCAATCGTCAGGTTCTGGAAACAGAATTGGACAAGGATAAAAAAAAAAAAAAAACATTCTGAGAGTTCAGAGTATCTACAGAAACATCTGGAGGTTCCGCCATCAGCAGATGGATCAGAGGTTTGGAGATAGAAAGAGCTTCATCAAAAGTTTAGATCACAGAACCAAGTCTGAACCGTTAACCTCCTTCAGAAGATCATCAACCAGTTCAGTGTTCTGTAGTTCAAGGGCGAAGCTAGAAGGGGGGCCAGGGGGGGCCAATGATTGGCTAAGGGTAGCCATGGCCACCCCTACCATTTTATTCTCTCTAATAATCAAGTGGAATATTTAAAACATTAAAATTCTTCATATATTACTTCCTATTTTTTTTTTAATCATATATTCTTAATTACTTGATAACAAAAACACTGTGGATAATTATGCACATCAATATACTAACATTAAAGATGATAAGTACAGAATTCATGCTCTTTTCAGAACTACATTTAGTGTTTTTGGTGTAAAGAGAAAATTATGTGTCTCTGCATTCATTTAGGAGTCTTAAGTGAAATCATAGATAAATAACTATTTTAATAAAAACTATTTTATGTAGATAATAGTACTTGTAAATATAAATTTTATGCAGTATGATAATTGATAAAAGTAGGTAATGACAATGGAAAAGATGTTCACCCCAGAACTCAAACCTGAAAGAACTTTATCCACTATACCTTTTATCTAGAAAGCTGTAGAAAGCATGGATGTTTACATGTATGCTTCTGTTTGGCTATAGGAAATTAAAGGAATAGTACACCCAAAACATGATTAGCCTTCATTTTCTACTCACCCCCATGCTGAACAACACTCTGGAGTACTTTTTTGATATCTCAAATGCATCTGGAGATCTGGGAGGCTTCTTGCTGTCTGCTGACATTCAAATAATGGAGGTCTATGGCGCCCGAGGCAGAAAGGTCCATAAAAGTCCACAAAAAACGTGTCAATATTCCTCCATACTGCTCGTCCAATGTATTCCAAGTGTCCTGAGTGGGTAGCATCCAGAATTTACTCGAAACGAAGTCATTTAGAATGTTTTTAGAGCATAAACAGTAGTGTATAGGATTTCCTAAAAGCGCGTTCACGAGTCTACGGAAACCGCGGCAGACCAAACCAGACGAAAGTTCGCATTCAGCTCGGCAAAGAACTCATGCTCTTCCTCGACACTGAAGTCCTCAGACATTTTTCTTTCGTTGTTTCTTTCTTTGCACAGGTAAACAGCACATTTCTTCTTCTACGCTTGCATTATCGGCAGAGCAGACGCTGAATGCGCACTTTCATCTGTTTTGGTCTGCCGGCTTCCGTAGACTCGTGAACGCGCTTTTAGGAAATCCTATACACTACTGTATGCTCTAAAAACATTCTAAATGACTTCGTTTCGAGTAAATTCTGGACGCTACCCACTCAGGACACTTGGAATACATTGGACGAGCAGTATGGAGGAATATTGACACGTTTTTTGTGGACTTTTATGACCTTTCTGCCTCGGGCGCCATAGACCTCCATTATTTGAATGTCAGCAGACAGCAAGAAGCCTCCCAGATCTCCAGATGCATTTGAGATATCAAAAAAGTACTCCAGAGTGTTGTTCAGCATGGGGGTGAGTAGAAAATGAAGGCTAATCATGTTTTGGGTCTACTATTCCTTTAAGGCTAGCCTGGGTGCCAGTCCGAACTTAGTCCCGCCCACAAGGTTTGAGGTCGGGAAGTTCGGTCTGGCTCTGCTCCATAGTAGCGCGAGTATTAAAGCCCACTGTCAGGCGATCCAATCAAATTGTCAGGGCGGGCTTTATACGATGATGGACAGATGATCAAGAGTAACGTTATCAACCACGTGACCAAAGCGCGCTTGGGTGACAACAATAATGGCTGCCGCTGGAGAGTTGAGGTGAGTAGATTCTGCTATTAGGTCTGTTCTAGAAGATATCGACAGCAAATTAATTTTAAAAGAGGAACAGAGAAACGCGATCAAGTCTCATCTTCTTATTATAGGCGTGCAACTGCACGCTTTGATTTTTGTTGACAACAACTATGCCTCGCTTAACATACGTCACGCACTCCGTTGCTCTTATTGGTTGTAGGTCTATCCAATTGAGTGCAGAGGCATTTTTTTTCCTGGTTCGTTCAAAACACGCCCCATAATCACAGCTCTATGGAGCAGCATCAGACTCATTCTGGCTAGAATTGAGTCGGACTACGTCAGGCTACTTTAAGGCTGTAGGAAAGTATAGTTTGTCATTATTTAGAAAATATGGATGTTTTACTCATTAATTGTCCTGTTGGAACAGCGTAGATTGACCCAGAGGTTCTGGTGCCTATCCACCCCTCAGTGGTCACTGGTTATTACCTGGGCACCCTTATAAAGATTTTCTGGCTACGCCTCTGCTGTAGTTTCCTTTGAAGCATCATGAAGTGACCTTTAAGATGCCTTCAAAACACCCAGAACCAGGATTTCTCAGGAGAATGGATCATTTGCTCGGATCTAAATGATTACTGAACATCAAGGTTAAGAGGACATGATGGGGAGACTGAGTTTTTATCATTAAATGCTATTAAGTTAAACAAGAAAGAATTTGAAGCAGCCTCAATGACCTGTAATTGTTTTACTTGATGTTTTTTTTATGTACCTGTCATTTAATTTAATGTATTTTCTTTTAATATGTAACTTTGCTGCCTCTTGGCCAGGACTCCCTTGAAAAAAGAGGGTTTTAATCTCAATGGGATTTTTTTTCCCTGGTTAAATATATAAATAAATAAAATCTCTCCTCTGATAGGAGAATCTTTCAGAACCGATTAGGTTCCAGAAACGGTTCCATGGTTCTGTCCTTGTGTCTGGGTTTGTTTGGATGTGGGAGGTTTCTGATCAGTTCTGTGTTTCTGCAGAGATCATCCAGAGACTGGTCCAGCTCTTGATAACATTTGGAGATGACATTGAAGCGAAGGTGTGTTCTGTTCCAGATCCAGAACCAAACCACGGGTCCAAACTGTCTGATAATCACAGTTTCTATTTCCACTCAGCTCAAACAGAACCCTGCGCTGCAGCAGCAGCTTCAGAACCTGAACTACACTATGTTCGAGAAGCTGACCTCCACTGTGCAGAACCTGCTGGTGCCATCGGTACCGGGCCCGGGCTCTGACGGCCCAGTCCAGCAGCAGAGGATTGCCTGGGCCTTTGAAGTGACCAGCAGACTGTCAGCGGTCCACGTGGTCCAGCGTAGAACAGTACTGCACTTTGGAGCCCAATACATCGAACAGAACCATGCTGGCTGGATCCAGCAGCATGGAGGCTGGGTGAGAGGGGTGGTTCTGATCCGCTTGGATTGTCCTGAGCTGTTCTATGCAGCAGACGGCGATCAGAGGGATTTCAGTCTGGAAAATGTTTCTGGGTCAGTTCTGGTAGAACAGTGAGGGTAACGCCCACTGACAGCGGGAGCCAATCAGAGGACAGACCATCTAAGCTGGTGACACTGTTAAAATGTCTAAAATGTGAAGGTGTAATAATTCATCCATCAGTTCTGATAAAGCGATTAATTAACTATAAAAACTATGAAAATATCGACACCATCGCCATCTTTTCAATTCACCAAGATTAAAGCGCCACAATATGACCTGTTGTTCTTTTAATATTTTCCAATAAGAATAATGCTTTAATTTAAATGTATAAGTTATGATATAGATTATTGTATTAGATCAGCAGACGATATGACATCATATTGCCTACTGATTTTTATAGTAAATTAACTTATTATTGTATCATTGATTAATATTAGCAGACACATGGTGCCTTTAATGACACATAAATGTATATTATTAGCTATGCTGATGAAGATTCTCAGTCATCCAGGTCATAGTCATTACATAAAAGTTTAAAAACAATCTACGAATCAATTTAAATGTCATGACATTTGAACTGAGAAAGCTTCCTGGAGGGGAAGCGAAACATCTTCAAATCTTGGAAACCAAGTCCAGTGGATTGTTTTTAATTTTTATGTAATAATATTAGCTACTTTTTCAAGCAGTTTTATATGATTAAGTCCTTCGTTTATTTCTTTATGTATTTTAAATTATGGCAGGATTGGTCCTCCATACATATGTTTCTGTTACAGATATTATATCCAAATGTTTTTACTGTTTTCTTTTCGTGTGCTTAATTTTGAAAATGATCTCTGATCTTATTTCTGTGTCCAGGACGAAGCTTTCGACTGATCTGCAGATCTTATGGATGGAGGCGACCAAACTGTGAACGATATGCTTTTTTTTTTTTTTTTTTTCCTACCTCCTTAATATTCGTCTTA